AATTTTCTTGTGAGACCAAATTGTTGTGGTCTCATGATTTCTAAGCCACCATACAGTGGGCTGGTGATCATGCCAAGCTGTCATGTAATTGTATTCAATTGCATGATCTGTGTGATGTCATCAGTGTACCAGGAATTTACATTTTGATTGGCTGGATAGAATTCATTTTCTCTTTTTCTACTTTCTTTCATATTGTTACCAATTCTTTGTTGTAAAGGCTGTGCATTTTCTATATTGAATTTCATTCTATTGTTCTTGGATGAACAGCCATTTCTATTCTTATTTTCATTCCAATTTTTGTAGGGAAAATGTGCTTGCGCTTTGCGCATTTTGTTCGGCGAAGTGTCGCAGTTTCGCCATTGTTTTTCTGGAATCTGTGAGTCTTCGGGAAGCGAATTTGGCAAGTCTGTTGCTCTTTCTTTGCCTTTTCTATACTGGTAGATGTTGTTATTGCTGTTTTCTATATTATTTTGGCATGGGGTGGTGGCGATTCTTGGGATTTCACGTTTCTCTTGGAGAAACGCTGTTTTGCCATTTCTTTGCAGCTTGCGACAGTGATTTCTGTTCCGCTGGGTTTTAGATCACCAGCGTCGGTCATTTCTCTCATCGCTGAGAGCGAGAGAGAGTTGGGATAGTGTGTCTTCTTCTTGCTTTTTAATTTTTATATTGTTTCTCATAGTTTCGTTGCTGTCGCTAATGTCGTCGCTATTGTTATCATTTTCACTGTCACCTCCATTGTTGTCGTCTGTTGTTGTTGTCATGAGTCCCAGGCTCAGGTAGGTATTCTTGTGACGTGGGTGTTCAATCAACGTCTATTTTGATAATTCGGTGTTTTGATCCAGTTGTATTAGGATCACGGCGCAATGCGACTTCTTCTATTCTATTAATCTAGAATAGAAAACACTACTACTAATAAATATCTCCTATTGTTACCATATTATATGAGTTCTTGGGAGAGTTGGTGAGTGCTTAATAATGTTATAATAAGTTACTTGGCCAGAGTAATTATAGTAAAGTTTATTAAGAATGACGGGTGGGAGAGTATAATATAATC